GGAAAAAGTTTCAGCCATTGAGAAGCAGTGAGCTCGAAAAATTCTAGATGCGACTCTCGCAAATTTAGATGCGATCCTAAAAAGTAAAGGTGGGATTTTTGTGCTTGGAATTTTGTATCGCAATAGAGAAGTTATCAAACAGCCTGAAATTCTTATGACAAAAAGAAGAGGGATAGCCTCGTATTACAGCAAGTTCGCAGCTAACAAGCTTCAATAGCTCCGGAGAAATTTAGATGAGGCGCTGATACGACTTCCCTTTTCCCATTTTTTGCTACCATACATAAAATCATAAGAAAATCCACAGTTTATAAAATAACACCAGATTTCGCACAGCAGTAGCAGGGCTTATCTAAAGTACAGATAAATCATATGGACCCGTGAAAAACATTACAAAAAGATTTAGAAATTCATGGTGGTCACAGCTGGTAAAGATATTCGCTTTTGTCGAGTGTGTGAGACTTCAGGAAGGCTTCAGAAGCAAGATTTCTAGGGCAATCGGCGCATTTAGCATTTTTATCAAATAATATATCCTTCAAAAGTGTTTTGAGCTTTTGTAAATGTTTTTTCTGAAAATTTCTACAGATTTTTTGTCTTTTTTATTCCGATTTCCACTTTTTTATAGATTCATTGTAAAGAACATAACTGATTGTCTGCTTTTGGATTCCCTTTGAAGCCTAAAGTATTTTAGCCTAACTGCCTCCTCTTACGACCCCCCACCTTAGATATCCTCTTACGACCCCCCGTTGCGACAGTCGCATCACAAGCTTGATCCTGGTTGGGACATGTAATTAAAATCCTAGCCCACTGTGAAAAAGGACGTCTTCGGACATACCCTTGCACATGTGCATGTCATAATTTTGTGACAGAACCAAAAATCTTTTTGCAAAGTTGGAAGACTTACGCAGGAGGCTTCCGGATTTTAGAACTCAAGCCAGAATTAAGCGTCCTGCTATAGTTCAGATGGGCTCCTGCACCGACTCTGCGTCAATTTTTCATCTTTATGTGTATGAATAAAGCTGAGTGTCTGTTTGTCTGTATATTTGTATGTGTGTACATATGTTTCGGATAAGTATTTTTATCTTTGGACCGATCCGAACCAAACTTTGCAAAGCACACTCGAGGAAGGACGGATGTCGTAGGCTACTTTTCGTTGTCAATCGATGTCGATTTTATCGATTTTTTTTTGCAAAGTTTTAGGTTACGAGGCTGGGAGTTGCCTTAGAGGGTAAGTGGACATGCTGATTACGATTATTGACAGGACTGGGAGGAGCTGGGTCTGCCAGCTAGTTGGTTAATATGATTGACAACAATGGAATGTACAGACTTCCTTCAATTGAATTCAATAATGACTCGAATAGGGCTAATTCAGTGTTTTTGCAAATTCCCCGAGCAGGTTTGGTTCAGCCTTCGCACGTTTTCCATACCAGTGGTGTCAAACCTAGATGTCTACTATACTCTAAGTGAGTCCAGTTTAGTCTTCCATGGTATCCTCTCTAGCTAATGTGTAGCTTACAACCTCAAAAAAGAAATTGCGCCTGTCAAGGATCAACAACCTGAAATGTTGTTCCTTACAAAGCATGAGCAAATAAGGACGCATGGACTGCACAGAGTAATTAAAAGTGTGACTACCATCTATTGATAGAAGACCTGACGATCGCTTTGACAAGCGTTGCCGTTGAAATGGACGATCCGACGATAAGCAGAATACGGGATTTTTTGTGAGCGTTTCGTCCTCCCAGTAACTGTAGCAAGAACGCTACTCTCTATGAGAGATCTGAAGTATGGGATATGAAAAATTCTCGTCTTGGGAATGGCTCAAAACTGCTCTGTCCAAATGTTATTACCTGGAAAAGATAATTTACCATAATACTTCAAAGCCGGGCTACATTTTATTGCATTTCATCTTCGGATTATTTCATCACTTGTGACAGATCTAACGAATGAGGCTCTTTCTTTGATGACCTAGAAGTTTTTAAAAACAAAAATCTGTTATATGCAAAAACGTAACGCAGCTCATGTTCATCCCTAAAAACGCAGAAAAACATTCTGAAAAGTTCTAGTCTCTTTGCCTTCAAAAAACTGAAGATGCCGTAATGCTTTCTTCCCATTCAAAAAAAGCTAAAATTTTGGAGATTTGTAGAGGATGATGAGGGTTGCGGATAACACATTGACGACAACGTGACCCACATGGTGAGTCATGCAATGTCTGCCACTTGAGGACTTCCGGTATCGGGACGGCATGACAACTGCCGTTTTTCGATTAGAGCGCGATATCTATCAATCCTGCTGCGTCCTTTAACGGAGCTGCAATTCTACTTTTTCATAGCGCCATCTAGATCTACTTAACCGGCTCTTTATCTGTCTTAATCTACTTAACCTATTAATCTACTTAACGCCTGTTCCCCCTAACTTGGAGATTTCGTTGCGCTTGTTTGGGACCCTGTCCGAGGGTATTGCAAGGATTCGTTGAAGACGGCTTCAAAGATGTAGTCTCATGTTCTTCATTCAATCACTTGAGTTATATTGTTTTGAATTATTATTGTAATCATCGTATTGTAATTGAAATAATACGTTTTGAGTGTATGTTATGTTTAGTGGTTCAAAGTCTCGCCGTTTGTCCTCACTACAAAAGGGTTGTAAACAGAAGATTTAGGGACTGGTTGAACAGCATTCTCTATACTGAATTGAACCTGATTTTGGAAGATGACAGCGTTTACCCCACTCTTCAACATGAAGCGTTATGGTAACTTATTGAAAGCTCTGGTAGTCCATAATCTTCCTAGAGTTTAGTTATTTGAAGAATAATGATCGTATGCGGTTAGAGCAATCAATGAATAGTCTTCAGATTCGAATCATTCTTCCACTAACGCACCCTTTCCGAGAGACCAGTTAGCGACCTCTAGTACGGTAGAAAATACGGTCTGGGTAAAGATTTATTGTAGTCTTAGCCGCAATTTGACTGAATGAACTGCTCCTTGGGTAGCCCAAACAAGTACCCAAAAGAGAAAATTAGACAGAACTCAGATTTGCACTAACACTGCTTTCAAATTCATCACATCATTCAAGTCTATAGCCAGTTTGAATATATGGCAAGATTTCTTGTGTAATTGCACCCTTTTACTTGGTGAGAACAAGTAGATTCCAATGGTGGTATGTACATTGTACCAGACTTCTATCATGTGAGAGAAACTGTCTACATTTATCATCTCTGCAAATGAACACTCAAAAATCCTTCTTTTTTCTCGACACACGGTGAAGTCTTTTTCCAAGTTTACTAGTTCACATTAAAAAAGAGACCTTTGATTACTCTTTTCTTACGCTCTACCTTGCAGTAAGCAAAAAGGATTTGATGTGAGCATCGCCGTCGAATGTGATTTTTGGTGCTACTGTGTGTGAACTGGTATAGGTTCGACAGTTAACACTTCAGAGATTACATAAGTAAGGATACAAGAAAAGTAAGAGTTCAAAAACAATCCGAGTTTTTACTCGAATGCGACAAACAGACCATTTTTTTTTCACAGATTGTAAGAGCAACAAATTGAGGACGGATAACGAAGAGTAACTTGTGTAAACAATTTCTGATGAAGTTTTAGTCACGTTATGAACATCACGGCAGTTCTAGATTTTAAGGATGAGTCAAGTTTAAACGGAAGGCACGGCAACGTCTTTTGAGAAATTGGGTCTTTAAAGAACTCATGACTTTGAAACTTCGGAAAACTCAGTAACACATTGGAGTTGAAAATAAAGCTTAACACTATTTCATAAATGAAAACACATTCAAGATGCGCTCTCCTCTCCCCTAATCCGGCAATTGTCATGCCGTCCCGTTACCGGATATCGTCACGGGACGGCACGACAAGTGCCGGACGGTAGATATCGCGCTCTAATCGAAAAACTGCAGTTGTCATGCCGTCCCGATACCGGAAGTCGCCACTTGAGACAATGCCAACATGGTGGGTCATCGCCGCTTAAGTCTCGTTGAAAAGATTGCTATTTTAGAATGCATTCGTTTCAAAAAGTTCTCTTGCCCTAAGCCTAGAAATTCCTCTTCTCACCTGCTTCATGAAATTACTGTAGTATACTGTAATTGATGACCTGCATAATTTTAGCTAAAAATTTTCGACTTATCCATGGAAGGCATTGTCCAAAGAGACAGATAATTTGAAATACACGTTGTCGTCAACGTGTTAAAATGCTGTGGAAATCTTTTGTGCTCAGCTCTGTCAAAGTGCAGTTTCATAATAATTGAAAAAAGTGTTTTATACCAAACCCTCTTCACCCCCACTCATCCTGAAGGCAATGTTTGTGCAACGAATTCCTAATTCGTTGTTCCACAAATCGGATACGTGGACCTTGAACACAATAGTCAAAAGCGCGAAGTTTGCACAGCAGATACACATAGTTGCAGCTGCTCTTCGTCTTTTTCAGCCTTTCTTGATCTACGATCCCAGTTCCAGCTTTTTATACAAATAAACGAATCATTTATCCCGCAGTGTCAATCATCATTCTTGTGTTGCTCAACTACTGACTTTTTATTACAAATTAACTTCCAAACCGAAACAATACGCTTCAAAAGCTTGAAGATTTCAAAATTTCCATCAATAAAAGAGCAAATTTTTGGCTTCTAGCAAAATTATGTGTGATTTTCTCTTCTTTACTCCCCTTTCTTCAAAGAGTCGTTCTGTCATCAAAAACTGCTCATATTGATCTGTAAAGCCTTTTTATGAATGTTTCTTTACGGCACGAACATCAAACGGAACAAAATAAATATATAAATCAAATCCGAATATTGTCATAAAATATGTTAAACGTCAAAAGCAGTATAGATGCTTGAAAAAACATCGAAGGTTTGAATTTATCTGCAAAATCAATTCACTCTAAGTTCCTTCTGTCCAAAATCATCAATATGGAGTTATCTTTCGTCCAATTTTTGATGAAGAAGGAGTGGGGAACAAAAATACCTTACAGCTTCGAATTTCTTATTTAAACGAAATTTCTAGATGATTCGCGTCTTTCTTGTCTTCGCCGCGATTTCTTGCCTGGCCAATGGTCTCAATAGCTTAAATAAAAACGTCACTTGCAGAGTAAAGCCATTAAGCAGTAAGTTTCAGACCAATTACTGATTTTTGAACTCCAGGTGAATTTTGTAAAAATTTCATTCCTTACTTTTTAGGATGCTTCCCCGGAAGTTTATGTCCTTCTGGATTTACTTGCTTGGAAGATAGCGATGAGTGCTGCGAAGACTCACAAGTTGTATTGCCACGTAAGTTAATCCTATTATAATTTTTGATTTTTCGAAACAATTTTTCTTCAGCAAAGGAGTGCAAAGATTTTATGGAACACTGCGATACACTGCATTGTGATCATGTGGATTTTATCGAGTTTGCGAAAGCAAATTGCGCTAGGACATGCAATTTTTGCTTTGAGAACGCTACGTTATCTCCAGGTGAAGAGAAAAACTTGATTTTAATTCTATCTTGTGCTCGTTTTGTAAAACTGTTGATCGGTCTTTTTAAGCAATTTCTTGTTTTCTTGCAAATAATAGAAAACTGATAGAACGGCCAATTTTTTTGTCCTAAAATATCAAAAACTCCTTATTCTGCATGAAACACTCATAGAATCTAAAGTCGCCTGCACGAAGTCGCCCAGGATGTTGTAGGTTGAACGCACGCGAGCGTGCCTGCAACGCGGTTGCCGAGTACGGACGCTATGATGACTCATGCGCGCGAATGCCAATGTTAGCCCGCAGGAGACACGCGCGCGGGTGCTCATTCCGGGCGATTCCATACAGTCTGCTATAACACTTTCCTCCAAGAAAACGAGGAAGTGGTCCTCGCTGCTTAAAAAAAGGTTGATGAAACGGCATATTCTTCCCCCAATGTTTGTATTTTCCAAGAACATTGAGGAAGTTAGAGAAACATGATTTTCTTTGCAAGTCATTGAAAAAAGCATTTTTGTTTTAATTAGAAAAAACCGATAAAATCGAACGCCTTCCTAGCTATCGAATTTCGTTTTCTCAGAAAAATCGGAAAACATCTATTGAAATATTTTTTTTGGGTGTCGGAAATCGCACTTTCAGCAGAGACCTCTAAGGAATGTGAAATGTAAGTTTTTTCTAAGATCAAACTCGTATTTTACAAGAAGAAGAAGGAAGCCTAGATGAAAAATTTTTCATCTTTAGTTTTCCAAAAGCAAGAAAAATGACAAAACGGTGATTCTACTGATTCATCAGAAAATTGTAATTCATGAGGAGTAGAAAAAGCCGAATAAGGCAAATTCTCTTTTCATATTGAAAACATGTACTTTTGCCTAAAAAATAAATCTTCAAAACTATCCTGCGTCTAAACTCATATCTTCTCCACAGACCAAAACGAGAAGTGACTACGCGTCTACCGCCAAATTTGAGAATGTTGTTTGAAATAGAGCTGATGAAACGGTGATTATCGCAAAATATGAAATACCCCTATTTCTGCGGAAAATAGTTAATGTTGATGACACGAAATTTCATGAGATCGAAAACTCGTATTTTTGTAGCAAAATACAACTGATAGAGAGCAATTTTTCTAAAAACTCATATATACTGCAGGAATTATAAAACTTCCGATTTTTTGCACGAAAGAAGCTGCTTTCAATCTCAGACACAACGTTTTCTTTTTTTAACTCACAGAAATCTTCCCAGAATATGCTTGTACCGATTTAATCGACGATTGTGACAAACGAATGAATCTATGTCGTGACATGGACTTTATGGATATGATGGCAATATTTTGCCCACGTACTTGCATGCTTTGCACTCATCTTCCAGAAGATCGAAATTGTCAGGACACTTTAAAAGAGTAAGAAATTATACTCTGAGTTTAAAAAATTATTGATTTTTGTTTTTTAGTTGCGCTGTTCGTGAAGAACGTGATCGTTTTTGCACAACTACAAAGACTTCCCTGTATCAGAAGACGATGGGATGTGGAGTCACCTGCAATAAATGCAAAAGGGGAATTTTTTCCTAGGAAAAAAAATCCTCATGGCATTTGACAAAAATTTACTTTGGCAAGACTTTATCGCAGTACTATAAATATTCACACACAAACACAACATGAAAAATACCCAATCCACTTATTGTAAAACATTCATATAAACAAATAAACAAACAAAGCAAAGATCCATTTGTGACTGACTGAGATCATGAGGTTTCTTCATCATGTGGATGATTTTTATAATGCACACAGAATAATTACAAAGACGTAAATACACACGCCATCACTCTTAGGCAAAAATTACGCCAAAATTTGCTGTTCTGACAAATCGCATGTTGTTATTAGATGTTTTGTAAGTGATATGTGATCAGTGACTAAGAATAATCAGTGAAAAAAAATTATGGCAGGGCAGACCTGGTTGGATTCATACTTTGTCCAAACACTAGATTTCTAGCCCTATTAGCCCGCTAGGGCCGCAATGCTGTGGCGCAATTTCGGCGCAGCGATGAGGAGCTGATCTGGGCACTCTGAGCAAAGGAATACCCCATTCCTAATGGTGATTAATCCTTGGTCATCAGAGGACTGTAGTCATTGTCACGTTGGTAGATCACTTTGAAATGGGTGCGTAGGCCTGTCGGAGGTGGCGCCGTAGGTGGTGACGTTTGCGAAGTTTGCGATTGTGAATTTAGCGAGATTTGTGGTGTGAGTAGCTTTTTCTGCGATGCCGGCTCATCGTAGACAGATAAGTTGGGTCCAGCCTGGAATAACATTTAGTTAGACATAATTTAATCAATGCGGACAGCATCTCATTTTCAATAATATTTCGCGCTTTATACCCCAGTATTTTACCTGTTTACCGAATCTCGCAAGTACTACCAAGCACAATATTACCAGTGGCGTACCGAGGGGGGGGGGGCGAGGGGGCGCGCGCCCCCTTTCCCGAGTATGGGTCGCGAAATTTTTGAAAGTTATTTAAATGTGTTATAAAAATGTGCAGAGGACTTGTTCTTACTTGTAAATAATTAAAATAATTTTTAAATATTTTTAAAAATTCAAATTAGCCTTGTAAAAAATTTTTTTTCGGGGGCGTGGCTGCCGCGGGTCAGGAGACCGGAAAAATTTTGGGAAGCATTCCAAAAAATTTTTCGGAGGGCGTGGCTAACGCCACGCCCCTTGATCAGAAAAAATTTTTTGTCGCCCCCCCCCCGAACGGAAATCCTGCGTACGCCACTGAATATTACGGAAACATGCTCTGTGCCGCGACGCGCATGCCTTTGCGTAGCGGTCCCGTTCTCGTTTGAATGAGCACTATTAACACCAAAAAGTCGAGCACACCGATAGGTCCTGCAGTAGAGGTCTCCGCGTGGGAAGCATCAAAGGCTACTGCTTTTGGTACTTGCGATGCTCCATATACACGTAGATTTAGTTTAGTTTTAATTCCTATTTGAGAAATCTTTGTAATTGATGAGCTTGCGATATTTTCCATGTCTGCAAATACCCGCAAAAATAAATTATAGCATAGCAGATAACAGAAGCCGTGAATATGGTGCCTTTGCGTTGCCGACAACAATTGCGCGTAAAGTGGCAACGTGCGCTCTACAGCATTTTTTTGCGTGCAAAATCGCGAGAGTGTAAGCATGGATTCACAAGCGTAAAATCCACTCATTTACGAAATTATAAATAGTTATATGTCGAATAAATGCAGGTGCTAAGGACACTATCGACATACAGTACCGCCCGCAATTTGTGTAAAAAAATTCACCACACTCTTCCGAAGTTCGCCAAACTTTGCGTTGCTCGCCGTATCTTGCTTCAGAGTGGATGAATTCTGAACCGGAGTACCATTCAACTAGCTCGACGAGTTGCATCTTTTGGTACATAAAAGTGTTTGTTTGAACACGATAGCCGCTCAAACTTTGAGGCTCTCCAAATTTTCGCCTACGGTAGGTTGATCGTTGTGCACTGACTGAACACTCTAAATAACGTACCGTCAGCAAGAATTTGGAGGAATTCGTAAATTTGACCAACTCTCGTGTTTGAAGAGGCATTTTTATATTTCAAAAGATGCAACTCGTCGAGATTAGTTGAAAGGTGCTTTTGGATTCGGAATTCAGCCACTTTGAAGCAAGCCATGGCGATGCAACGCGAAGTCCGACGAACTCCGGCGAAATGCGCTAATTTTTCGACAAATTACAAGCGGTATTGTAGATGTGGATGCATTAGAAATTTTTGATTTAAATCCTAAAAGCATATTTCTGTGGTACCATCCAGTAGGATGCTTCGCAACGATGTGCGTATTCTGCCTCGATGTGTAATACCATATACACCACTCAGACATGCATATGTTTGCAATATCTATGATTTACAAGGCTATGATGTATGCATAATACACTACGTATGTTTCCACATATAGTCACAGATTTTTTATGCAAGAAAAAACTTATTCTTTAACTCATTTCTCTCCTTAACCCGAGAGAGACAGCCAATCTCAACAATCTATATATCATCGAATTCGCCTCAAAACGCAGATCACAAAGATTATATATATTTATTATCTGCCAAGCGATTATCTGGGAGGAGTTATGAGCGTTTAAACGTGCGATTTGTCAGTGTTCTGTGGCGCATGTACCACGAAATAGATTTCAAAATCACTTATTTAGGATTTATGGTGGAAGTGCTTCTTCTTGTAGATTAAAATAACCACTGTAGATGCGCCATCAAGCTACCTTTCAAGAAAATAAATTCGTCAAAAATTGAAAAATTTCTCATACTTGAACGCTTAAAGCTCCTCCCAAGTAGTTGCTTGGCAGATAAAAAAATTATATTTGAAATCAGCGTTTTAAGACGAGCCCGATGATATACAGCTTGTTTGGAATGGGAGGGTTAAGTTGTGACCACGCCATCACTTTGACCACTTCTTCGTTACTTTCTGAAGTAGCAGCGATTATGGAATCTTAAATTAGATTCTTACACAGCTCCTGCTTTTAAACTCATGGACTTGCAGAACAAGGTTAGCAAGAACTCTATAGGGAGGAAGTTAGCGCACATGGAGGTTTTTGTGGCGATAAAACGTCGCGACAGAGTGAACAGAATGGTTTACATAATTTCAAGATAATGCCCTCCGAATCGCTAGATTGTTAAAGGTGTAGTAATGAATGCATTGTCTTCTAAGACCTCGGGCGAATTCACGCAATTTCATGGTCGCGATTCATCGCTACAAGACAATTGTTACGAGTTCATTGCATGCCGATCTTCTTGTATTTCGGTTGTGATAGTTGGTCACGATTAGTCGTGCTGGAAAACTATCACAACCGGAATGCAAGAAGATCGGCATGCAGTGATATTGTTACAGTTGTCTGGTAGCGATCAATCGCGACGATGAAATCGAGTGGACTCTGGCCGAGGCCTAAGAAGTACCCTGAAATTTTTAACATTCTGACTGCTGTCACAAAGAATACGTCGCGACGGAAAAATCCGTTGCAATCTGTGCTTTCCCAAAATTTCCATTTGTAATATGAAAAATATGAAGTTTGGCGGGTTGTCACAAAAAAATCGAGACGATTCTACCAAATGAGGATTAGATATACACCGCTTTTTCCGAATGTGGACTTCCTTTTTCTTTCGTAGATTATTCGAAAGAAAGTCGATGTTTCTTGCATAACCGTCAGTTTGAAGTATTGGTCATCGCAACTTCCTTATTCCAATCATAAGAGGACTTCAGGAGTTAATTAGATGAAATTTGCGCTCCCTTTTACCTCATCAGAGCTAACTTCCGCTTCTGACTATGCTCAACGACTAGTGATCTTTGGTATCACCAATTTTACATGCCCCCCCCCTCCCCTCTATGACTAATGCTATCGTAATCTCTAGCCTCGTTCACGTACATATTTATTCACCTGACTAGCACGACGAGCCTTCTCTTGCCGTTTTTCATCGCGTTTGAGTAGCCGTAAACGAAGCCGCTTCTCAAGCCATCTGGAAAATGAATTTGGAATTGAGTGGAGCGATAAGAGACCAAACAAAAAATGAAAGAGAAAAAATGAGGAAAGAGGAGGGCCGACGAGCTTTTCTTGCTGAGAATCGGGATCATAGATGAAGGACAAATTGGGAAAAGGCGATGATGCATGGGCGCGAAATGATGCAATTTCAAGAACGTCGAGTTCTTTTATTAGTAATTCTGTCTGCAAGCGTAAAAACACTTGGTTTTTATAAAAAATGTTGCGGAATCTATTTGCTCAAGCGTTAGTAGAGGCTGATGAGCGTGTAAAAAAGCAAGAAAAGCAAAAAGAAAAGAATGATTTTTGATCCGCTAAAACATCAGTTTTAGAAGCAGCGGCAAAACAATTTTGAATTCGGTTTTTTTTACTCAGAAAACAATTTTGAAGCCTCAGATAAGCCATAGCCGAGAAAACAGCTCATTTGCTCTATTTGCAGCTGAAAAATTCAGCTTCAACCTGTCGCCCACTACAGTACTCGAGTACGCTAACTGGCCCGGCAAGTTCTGCGGGATTTTAACGATTATTTTCTCATTACAAATTGATTGTTCGAGCTGTCTCTTCGGCAATGGCTGTAATTAGAATACCCAGATAATTCCACATAGGAAACCAAGGTACTCATATTTGTTTAGACATGCCCTTAAGTTACGGTCATTCGAAAATAATGATAATGTCCAGAAAGCTTTTCGACCTGAAAGCACATCTTGGACCTTTTGTCTAAAAATCGTCGGAAATTTATAGCTCAGAGGATTAATTTACGAAGCAAAAATAGTTATAGCCGAGTCATTTGTAAGTCAGTGTGCACTGCACAACGTGCGCTGTATTCGACGACGTGTGGCTCAAAAGATGCAATTTCTCTTTTTTGTATGATGAGCTCGAATGTGTACAAACCAGTGTGAATAATCATTTGTTAAAAGAAATCGTCATCAAAAAGGTTTCAACTGAGTGTATTACAATGAATAGTCGTGAATTACTTTATGCACTGTGCAATTTCACACCTTAAGTTATGATTCCATTCTACAAAACAAAATGCAACGTTCTTGTTTTTCTTGAATGATTCAAGCATAAAAACATAAACCTTCCTACTAAGTCGTCTAAATGCGCTTTTCTTCTTGTAAATCGGCTCTTCTTGCAGATAGTTTGTGTTTTGAGTCACAAATCTGATCAACCCACCTCTTTTTGCCAAAGTAGGCTAAGGAGTTCGTAGCAGAGTTGAGCACAATCATAAAATCAGAGATCCTAACAAGTATTGAAAGCGTTTCACCGAAAGACTCGATTCCATATAGGTTTTCATATACATCAAAAAATACTGGCATTGACCTGGAAAAATGTTTTCTCTCTGAGAAGGGAAAAATCGATAATGTGCCGAAGAGCCAACCTAAATATGAGGAATTTTACAGCAATAAATATCGCTACAGTACGTGAGACTTTCTCTTTTGATTCTTCTGTGAGCACTATGTTTCGACTACGTCGTTGACTTTCGAAGAGCCTGAAGGTGTACTGTACTTATTGTAATTAATCAATAAATCGATAATAGCTGCAAAATCTTACTTTCTTCGTTTCTGCAAACTTCTATGTACACGATATTCAGTCAGCACACTGAGTATGAGTATTGTGGCTACAGGTCCAATCGTTTGCGTTAATGTCATCAGAATCGCTCGATAGCGACCGAACTATAAACGTAATTGTTGTGATACGGTAGGTGAGCTACAGTAATGCACATCTTACCTGGTTTCGGAATACGGTAGGCGCTGTACAGGACGCTTCAACGCCATGTTCGGCATCGAAACATTTTTCGACAGTAAATTCGAAATATGTTGGAATATTTACAGCAAAACAGAGAAGAACCACGAGTCCTGGAAAATCAACATCTTAAATCATTTTTATTCCTGATTGTTCGCAATTTTCTTCCATTCACGCGCAGTTTAATAGACTTGACGCTTGATATACTAGGCTTGCGGGGTCCACAGCACTTGTAAAAACGACATATTCAGAAATTCCGCACCTCACGGTTATTTTTCATGAGAAAGTGTTGTTTTCAACGCAGGAACACTGTCTTGATTTTTGTGAAGAGAATGAATTTGAAATTATTATAGTGTGCCACTGCATCGCCTATAACTCCTGCTCGTAGATATGGCTAAGCGTTACATTCAGATTTTGCGCTCCAAAGCCAATTTTATGCGCAAATGTTGTTGACACCATAACAGCATGTGTTAATAAATCTACTACCCTATGCAAGTTGACGATGGTTGAAAAGTTTCGCGGATCACCATTTTTTACGCGCAACTGTTGCTTGCAATACAAGAACACTAGATTAATTGTGGTTTCGATGATGAGATAGTGCTTGCCGCGCCTATAGCATCAGCTTGTAAAAATGGATATACAGAGCGCATTTTTGACTTTTGCGCAACATGGCCATTTTTTACGCGCACATGTTGTTTCTACCGCAGTAGCACTATACTAATCGACAACCCTACTAGCTCTAACAACTCATGCGATTCAGCTAACTCTCATGCACTATCCTGACCTTTTTTTATAATAAAAAAATTTTTACCTGGTAAAAGGCACGACTTCAAGTACTTCTTCAGCTGGACTTGTTCTTTCAAAGGTTTTTGAGCTGACATTCGCTGTTTCTGGGATCCAACGTATGATTCCATGTCGCTTGACGCTTTACGCTGTTTCGTACTCTAAAATTAGCAATGTTGAGCTCTAATCCAATGCATGTCGTTGATAATTAGAGATTATCGAGCAGAAATTGCACGCTTGAATAGTTTTGTTCACTCATGAAACTAGCATTTGATGAGGTAGATAATCACTACCTGGTTGCTAATTGGGACATATGCTAGAGTGATTTGAACGGAATGATCTCATAAATAACGAGGCTTTCAGCTTTTGTGCAAAAAAGATATTTTGGGCACAGTTTGCAGATTCCCTGCAGAAAATTAAAACCCTGAGTAATCTTTGAATTTCCTGTGGGAATCGAAATTGCAAAAAGTGAGTTCAAAAAGTTCAAATTGCAAGGGGATAAGTTGAGAAATTGCCTATGCGACTACTGAAGGGCTTTTGACTGGGCACGTTGGCTCCATATGTGGTATCCTATGTGGAGATCCTAACTAGACTATCGCCCAAACGGCAGCTCATCTGATTTATTCGTCGCAAAGATATCCAACTGTAAACTTCAGCCCAGACCGTACTCTACCGTATCCGAGGACCCTGATTGGTCCGTTCTGAAAAAGCACGGTCGGAGCTGCGGTTTGGAGTTAGACACCCCATTTCGATAGAATACCGTCTTCGAAAGTCCATTTTTTGATATTAGATTGAATTTTTCGAACACAAACATATTCCACAACGGTGGCTACCGTTTTCGAAGTCCGAGTGTAGAGCGATGAAGCATATCGCAACGGACGCATCACCACCATAAATCGTAAGAAAGTGATGTAGATGACGAGCATTGTCTGTAATATTACGTTGTTTTTCTGCAATATTACGTCTACTTTTAACCATAAACTTTTCCGATTCTCCATCCCCGTCACTTCTCTTCCCCCAACCCTATAAAAGCGATCTTTTGGATTATATATGATTCCAGAACATTCTGAGATCCCAGCCTATTTTGCTATAGTTGTTTATCTACATCCAACGAATCTTTGTCGAAGCGCATAAGAATTTGAGAATAATGCGTAAACTACTAATTATGCAATTATACAATGGGAGTTACGATGCCTGAAAGAATAACAGAACAATAGGGGACACATGATATTCATGCAAATACTGCAGTTGTTTTCATAGTTAGAATTGATGAAGTGGGCGATAGTGGAGAAGGAAGTGTGAAATGCTACATAACATTCTATTTGATAAGGGAAAAGACTGGCGAGAATAAAAGGATATGAAGCAAGAGTAAGGATATTGAGAAACATTATTTTTAAGGGGAGAATGGAAGTCCAGAATGACAGTAGCTTCGAATTTCCCCTGAAAGGCTCCAGACTGGATAGGGAACTCTAAAAAAGAATGATGATGAAGACAGAAGAAAGAGGAACAAAATCAACAAACAATAGAAAGAACGAGTAGAAAAAAAGAAAGATAGTACATAAACGTTAAAGGAGCGGTAAAGGACGAGGAAAAATAGGGGAGAAAGGGAGAAATAGAATAAGAGATTGGAAAAATTGAGAGATTAGAAAGAAAAGGTGAAGGAAAAGAAGAAGAGTTGAACGCTCATTGAGGGACAATAAAATGGGAGATTTCAAGAAAGCTTGAAAAAATCAGGTAGGAAGGAAATGGAATAAGATAATAGGGAGAGGACAAAGAAGAAAGAAGAAAGGAGAGGTGAAGGACTTGTGAAGAAAGGGGAAAGGAGGAATGAGACCTCAGAGATGTGTAAGTAAAACTATGCCTGAAAACGAAGAAAATGAGAAAAAGGAATGTAAGTAAAAAAAAGTGTCAGATGATGTTGAGAAGAAAAAGAAGGATAGAATGGGAAATGACAAAAAGAGTGTTTAAAAGGTCAAACGGAGGATGTGCAGGAATGAAGAGGAAAGCAGAAAATAAAGAGAGGAGAAACAAAGAATGAAAAGATGAAAGAAAGAAGAAGACATATAAGAAGTTGCGGAAACAGGAAAAGAGTAAAAGAAGAGATACCAATTTTTTTCTATCCAAAAAGTTACTAGTATGGGATGGAAGGCAATTATGAGAACTTCTTAGCAGTGATACTGTAATCGCAAATGTTCACCCTTAACTCCCAAAACTCGAATTTGCTAGGAACTTAATGCATCATATCGCAGTTCTTCAGGACTATTACTAAATTCATCACAAAGGCTTACATTTGATAGAATAAGACTATTATGAGACTACCATGCCATATAAGAATACTATAACCCTACATTTTCTGCACAAACATTCTCCTTTTCTCCCCTAGTTTGTAGATTTTTGTAGTCTAAACACTTACCGAGGAAGTAGTTAAACTTTGAGCGACTCCATGAAGGCTTGATGTGAATTGCTGATGATTATACATAAGATTGGTGTTCAGAAAAAGAACACCGATGGCTTCGATGCTGTAGAAAAGGAAGACGGTCATCATCAGCAATGAATCGATGACGCAAAGCGAAAATAAGGCTGAAAATATTATTCAGTCAATATTCATGTGTTTTCCCCTATTATCTGAGCATTTATACATTACCGTAATCGCAATGCACATGTTTAAGAGTAAACAAAGACTAATTATTTATAGGCTTTCCCTCGCATTTGCTATATGCAAAAACATGCGTTGGATGAGCTAAAGATCTGAGCGTAAAGACGTTTCGGATTTTCCTTATTATGGAAAAAAAACACATTTGATAAATAACTGACCAGCTGTAAGCTCCTTGTTCAAGCCGGCTCGGAACAAAAATCGTACAGCAAAATGAAATCCGATCAGCGCTAGGATGGCTGCAATGCAGGTGCATGGACCCTACAATAAAGATTTTGTGTATAATTACAACACGGAATGTGAACCTAAACCGACAACTTGGAGGGGGTGGGGGGGGGGGGGGGAGGGGTAAGCAAAGCATATATGATGTCAAATTATTCCTAGCAAACGCTCCACTTTTTATAATTGTATTCTATTCTGCTGAAATATCTGCAGTGCACTGAAATGACATCAGAATACTGGGAATTAACAAGATTAGCACTTCTAAATAATTCTCAACATTTATTATTTTTTTTATTTTATGCATTCATACATACATAAATTCTCCTGACGAACGTGTTACTGCAGAAAAAAACGCAAAAAAATTGCCTAAAATTTGGGAGAAATTCTCGCATCTACGTCACTCTGGCTAAAGAACCCTTAATAAGCTTCTCCTTCGTAAGTACTCTTATATTAAATGGGTAACGTGCTCGACTTTTTCAGTTCTCTGAATTTATAGAGAAAATGGAGCGAGAAAGAAGAAATTTAGGCTCTTTTGTACCTGAATTCTTAAATGTGCAAGAATCTTTTACAATTATTAGTCGTTAGCGCACAAATTCTTAGCAGAATCTTCCGACCATGAAATTTATTCTTTTTCCAAAATAGTGAACCAGTAATCTAGAGGTGCTATTAAGAAGAGCGTTGCTCGGGACCCGACCCGGTTCCTCGTTATTGGGTTTTTTGAATTGAGCTAACGATTCATTATATATCAGATTTCAATTTGAACTTGTTTTTGATTTCTTGCTTTTCAACAAGTGATTATATTATTAACGATCTTCCCTAGAATATCATAAGTTTGTAAAGCAGTATTAGCTTTCACCTGCCCCACCATCCTACCCGAAAGGATAGCCTGAATTGTCCAAATTAAAATTTCATCAATTTGACAGCATTCCGGTTCCCATAAGACTTGTTCCTCAAAAGCGCAAATTCTGTGCTAACAATTAACTCCAGTAGATTTCTGAGGGTTTAATCCTCGGAAACCTAGAAGTTTGTTAATATTCCCAAGCCATTGATAATCCTCAGGGACTTTAAGATTAACATTTTGTCAGCAAAACAGATTTCGGGACTGGTCTGATGTACTTTTGTTGTCATAGTACTAATATCTTCATGGTCCCTAGAGGATAAAGGATAAGATAGGGGGCGATTCGGATTTGGGACCTTCATGAGTGGTGCAACTGGTGAAATCTTTGTTGTTTTCCCGATTGTCATGTTGGAACGGCATTCAACGCAATTTTGCAGACATTAGGAAAATGATACGTTAGCTTTGCCTACTTCTATCATCAAAACCCAAAGGACAGGCGCAGTCAGCCTGAACCAATGAATCAGGTATGCTAAGGATGGACAACCGCACGCGATCGCTAGCGCGTCTCCGCCCTTGCCTATATCTGGGAGCAACTCAGAGAAATTTCTAACCTTGAATTATACGAACACCTGGATCTCTTTTTACCCTTCCCTCTTTTTACCTTCATTCCTCCTCCCCCCCCCCCACCTCTAATACCAATAAATCTAATCGTAAACCTACATCGATCCATAGCGAAAACGATGTGATACTGTCATCATTTGAGTAACGATAGGAGCAATTACGTAGTGTTCCGTTTTCCATCGATAGTTCCCTGAAACAGCTATTCTTCAGAATTTTTCAAAATCCCATGCTTACTAAAATATTCAAGGAGAGTCATGTAGAAAATAAGATGCAAAAATGCTGAGCTTTTTTCATTTGAACAATGGACATATGCAAATAGGTGCTTATGTGCATGAGCATCTTCTGATGAGCAGTGACGAGATAAATTAACGCAGAATGTGTGCTATAGAAAATTTTATTTCCTTTTTTATTTCTGCAAAAAATAGAGCATCATGGAATATCTAGGACGAAAAAATGTAATAATTAACCAAACAGCCACATATTGCACGGGAAATTATTGGATTACACGTTGATTGACGAGGAGATGTGATAATCGGATTACTTTTTTTTTCTTCGTGGAACTGCAAGTGCCGGGCAATTTCATTTCTCCGACAACCTAGGCTTTTGCGGAAATTTCCTGCTTTAAAATACGCGAAGAGGAAACTTCTACAAGTGGTTTTCAGGATAACTTTCGAATCAATAAAATCAAAATAATTATAATTTTTCACGAATTAACCGGAGACTGATTGATAATTTCTGGACTGCTTCTGTTATTTTTAGGCGAATTTAAATTGCATAAATAAAGAAACAAAAAATGAATTCTTGCTTGCGACTCTAAAAGGATGTTGAAATTTATTTACATGACTTCTGAACAGATTTATTCTCAGTGCTAGCGAATTATGGAGAAAGCAAGGGCCAAGTAGTATCTGACATCATTCAAAAATTTCCACCCAAGAATTTTTAGATTTTTTTCGCCAGGCGTAAAAAGGTGTCTAAGCAATGTGAAATTAGATAGTTCCTGGGATTAGTTTAGAATTCTATTCGCAGTATTTTCTTTTCTAATGAATATACGCAGCTTGTACGGTGGTCAACGATCAATAAGAAAAAATATCAATAAAAATCTACAAAAGCTTGAAAAATTTTCCAAGGGCTTATATTCACCTTTGGCTTGTTGACTGAAAAACGGTAGAATAAACTTAAAAACTCATAATCAGAAAAGCTTAGTGCCTTCCGTCAAAAACAATGTTCTTTATATACTATAATGTACTAGATTCTCATATACTATCAAAAGTAAGACAACTCGTCCAAAAATTTTCTACAAGACTATGATTGTTAGCTGGTATGTGCTGATTGAATGCGTGTTTTGCCATTGACTCAGAATACATTGCGAGATGATGGGCGGAGCTTAGCCAAGGGGCTTTCTCAAAGCTTCTGAGAGACAGGCGATGAATTAAATTTTTCTAAGAAAGTTTCAAAAATACAACAGAAGCATAAAGCTGCGACTTTGTGGGCGATAAAGGGAGCAGCTTATGCTGTCTAGCCTGGAAAAACTGACAGCGAGGAAAATTTGAGTGTTTAAGTGCTTGACATCTGCTGATGGGAAATGAGAAAAACTGTTGTCGTATAGTTGTAGAAAAGTGCGAATTTTTTGCTCTGTGACAATTATACAAACTGTCATTAATGGTGCAGCATTAATTGCAAAGAGCTAATGGAAAAAGAAACAAAAAGGATGTATGCTTTGAGAAAAGTCTAAATTATGTCCTTTGCACAAAATGCTCAGCTTTCACACAGATTTATAAAAAATGCAAAATGCCATATTTAATTGCAATATTCAACATTACAGCTAAAGATGGAATTTGATGCAGATATACATATAATTCCAATTTTCTAGTGTCTACTAAAGATAGAACGTTGTATTTACGAAAAAGGAAAGTACATCCTGGCGACAAAGCCTCCAATTACTCTGGATTGTATGCTTTGCATAGATAACTTCATTGTACTATGGAATAGGATCAAATGTCAGATTTGGAGTGAGGAAAGTTTGGCCTGCTGCGGCAGGGAGTATGGATGGAATGATCCAATTTGTTGAAAAGGGAGTTTCGTGATGTCAAAAAATGTCTTCATTACATGCTAAACCGAGTCCAGGGTACTGAGATTATTTTCTAAAGATTTTCTTACAGTGAGAAATAAGATAAAAAAGTACTTTTGCTTTCTGTGGTTTAGGCTCTTGAACAACAAAGTGTCACGTTCAACGAGCTGAATACTCTGCCGAAAGTGGCTTCCTCTGATTTTTCTACATAGTTTGTTTACTCATTTACTTAATTCTAGCAATGTCAAAGAACAGCAGCAATGGTTTAATTTTTCAAATTGCGCGGAGTTTGCGCAGACGAGCTTAATGATAAGAGAGCTGTTTACAAAAAATCTCAAAAACATTTTAGCTGATCAAAAAGAGCAGCTTAGTTGGAGCCGTTTGAAAAAACCAACATAAGAGAAGAATTTTAGGCTGTGGTTTGAGCCAGGTGATTTGATTTTATTTATTACTTCGCACACACATACGCATATCATTCACAAATGAAATTTAAATGCAGTTTGAGTAGAAAAAGAACCATTTAACCCTGTACATGTGGTCTCCCATGATCAGGTTATTTCGCCTGAATTTCTGTACAGTTCTGAATTTACTAACTTTCGGCGCATTTCATAGAACTGGAAGATTTGACAAAATAAGGGAGAAAGAACGATTGAAAGATTTACGTTGTAACATGAATGTTACAAAGATGCGAAAAATGAAGAAGACATTTCGCTGCGGGGACAGGACTAATTCCGTATAATAAAGCTTATATAACGAAGAAATTAGTTATTTACTCGCTTGACATGCTAACCATAAGCTCCGCCCAATGCGGCAACAATGAAGTGACGACTAGAATGTGCAAGTAGAGGAGGTGACATATCAGACTTATTAAATTCGTATAAATGTAGCCTTGACGTCAAGGTGAGGATGGCGTCAACTATCAAATTCGCATCAATAGCTGTACAAAATAAGACCAGGAATAACTCTGTTTTCTTTAAGCTTAGGGTGACTCCGTGCTATTGTTGCTAAGTCATGATGCTATTAAATTATTTATTTGCCAAAACAAAATTGAGTCATTCGCCTTCTGTCATCTTCATTTGTTAGAAAAATGGTCTTTTCCCATGGTTTGTTTGTAAGAGATATAGGGAAGTAATTTTTGCGTAATATGTGCAACTACACACCGTGCGCGGCAACAAAACTGCTTGGTAAACAGGCAGTAAAAACCAATGAAAAAGGCTGTCGGTATGGCTATATTTGTATCTATTTGCCCTCAGAACAACAGAGCACAAGAAATAGCCAAAAACCTAGGTAGGTTATAAGCAAGTTAGTCGTAGAATGCCGCGCGTGTTGTGCAGTGCACGTACAAGCTCCACAAATGACGACATTGTAGAATGATGAAAGCAAAAAGACACCTCTGGAAATTAACATATTACGAAGCGAATTATATTTATAGTCAATGGCACATGATATTTTTTCTGCAACTTCGAGAAGGAGCAGATGTTTCGCTTTTTCTAATTAATTGGGCCTGTCAATAAACACGATGTAATGGAACACGCAGAAATCCATGACGAAGAAATATGACCAGTTGCAACATTGCCTAGTCGCTTAACGGTGATGTAGTGTTTTTGCGCAGCCGACAACACTTGCGCGTAAAACGCAGCAATGCGCGCTCTATGGCCAACTTTTATGCGCAGGTCGCAAGCAAGTTGTTGTCATGAGCATCAGCGCAGATATTGCCAACATAGCAGAAATTCTATTAACTGTACATTTAAAGTAATCGAATAGGAATGTAGTGGATGTTTGGTCACATTCTGAAAGGAATCAGTGTCAACATTGCTTATTGAATAATCGTATTATTACAAGCTATGCAAATATTGTACAATGTGGCTGAGTAAATCAACTTTATAGTAGAAAAATATTTAGCACACAGCGTTCGACTAGTTGAGTGATTTTTGAACCAGCTATAAATCAGTATCAAATTACACTTTGGATACATCAAAAAAGACATGTTGTACATGATTTTCCGGATCTATTTCACAGACAAATCATTCACATGTTCTTTGGGTTTTTTCTGTAGACAAATTACCTAGCATGATAGCAGTGGCGTACCCAGGATTTCCGCTCGGGGGGGGGGGGGAGGGGGCGCAACAAAAAAATTTTTCAAATGAAGGTGCGTAGCGTTAGCCACGCACTCCGAAAAATTTTTAGGGGTGCTTCTCAAAATTTTTGCGGGTCCCCAACCCCTAAAATCTGGGAAAAGGGGGCGTGGCATCAGCCACGCCCCGAAAAATTTTTTTTTACAAGGCTAGCTAGAAATAATGTTTTTGACCTACAGTCATGTTATTCGTAACTCCAAAATACTCTTCTTGTGCATCATTGCGCGATTCAGAGGTTGTGCGGAAATTTAGTGCCTATGCGGTGCAGACAACATTCGCGCGGGAAAAATTGGATAACGCACATCTTCATCTTTTGTGTATGGACTTTTGAGAAGAAGAAGTAAGAAGCCTTCAGGGAAACCCTACTCTCAACTTGCGATTCAAAGTGCCACATTGGTCACCATAGAAATGTCACATTCAAAGATTAGGAAGCGATGTTGAAGGCAATTTGCAGCTAATCACATAGAGAAAAAAAACTTCAGATTGGCATGAGAAGACCGAAGACCAAGACCGTACTTTGCTAAAAATTGACAAAGAACATTCTGTTAAACATGACGTCAAAAAATTGTCATAGTCAAGCACGTATTAAAATGCGACATTTCCCTTCACAACATACCCTCGATACATAGAGCCACATACTCTGGTAACCTTCACTTTGAGGGCTATGAGGGGACACAACCTTCACCTGGGAAAAAAACAGAAGTCATCCGGGGCGAAGCCGCGGATGTTATTATCCTGACTATATCGGGAGAATGTGAATGAAATAAATATAGGAAAGAATATCTGAAGAATGTCTCAGCGAAACTGAGAAATTGCTTTTTTAAAGCCTTTTTTCTGCTGAAAAGAGAATTTCTGTCAAAATTTCCTCAGAATTCAGGACAACGTTCCTCAATTAGCCTCTTACTTGACCAAAAATGAGTTTTAAAAGTTTGGAAAGCTGTTGGAGATGAGAAACTGCGCTTAAATGTGCGCAGAGAGTCGCGCACG